ACTGGGGATGTGCCCGCAACCAAGGTACATGCCCTTGACCGGAATCAAACCTGGGACCCTTCAGTCCGCAGGCCGACGCTCTATCCACTGAGCCAAACCGGTTCGGCAATTTTTCCCTATCATTTTAAAACACGCCTCTATATTATTGATTCTATGTACTTATTTTTTAATCTTAAAAAGATAGCTTTATGCACCTATGTGGATATGAAAATCGATGCTTTATTCCCTTCCCCCAACATCCCTCAAAGCACAACATTTAAAAATCTTCCATTTTCCTCCCAGTTTTGAGTATTAGTTTTTCTTATTCAGGATTTAATCAAATGCCAGGGATACGGTGGGCACTGTGCAAGATAGTAAGGGCACAAAGTAATGCATCTACCAATGAAAATCAGAAATTTAAGATTCCAAAATACATCATGTTATATTTTTTTTATTTTCAAAAGCAAACCATTTTGTTGCCTTTTTTTAAATGTTTCTTTTCATTTTGCATGTTAATAAAAGTCCACATCTACAAATTGTGTTGTCTTATACCAGGCTAAATTGTAACAGGTGATCATATTTACCAATCACTAAAAGAATTGCACTAATGAAAAAACAACATTAAAATATAATATTTAAAGATACGAAATTATGTTTATAGTACAGTTTCACATAATAAAGGACAGAAGAAAACTGAAAAAAAAAAAAAACCCTGGAAGAACACCCAAAAATATTAGTTTCTATCAGGATGCCTGGTGCATAGTATCTAATAACTGTAAGAAGGAGTTGGAAGAAATAGAGGAATGGAAAAGTAATAGCTAACAGATGGTGTTAACAATATGCAGGCACTATTCTGAAAACTTTACATATATTAATTTGTTTAATCCTCATAACCCTATCGGCATAACTATTACGTATCCCCATCCTAGAGATGAGGCAACCGGGACACTGAGAAGACTGGGTAACTTGTCCATTTCACAGCCACTAAATGGTCCAGTTGAGATTTAAAGCAAGGTAAATCTAGCTCCACAGTTTGCTCAGGATAGAGGCACACAAAGTAATAACATTAGCAGTCATTGTGTATAATAGAGGGACTAAGCTATATTTCCCCCTTGCTGTTAATTTCTACTTTTGTGCACTTTTCAATCTAACCCAGCAGCAAGTATTGTTTATAATGTGTATATTAATCAGCAGCTACAAAGAACAAATAAATTACCAGAAGTTTGTTTGCTATCCATCTAGAAAAAGAAATATCATTCCCTATTGGAGAGAATCTTTGTCATCTAGGAAGTGGTATAGAAAGGTGTCTTGAGCCTATACAGGAACTAAATTTTCCTTGGAGGCCTTAGACTTTCCATACTCTTGGTGGAGAGGATAATTTGTGTCACTCATTTTGTGATGCTTCTTAGCTCTCATAAACTTCTATTTAACTTTCAAAAACAGACGTTAGCTCACTACTTATAAATATATTCATTGCCAAAAAGAGCCAAAAGTCCTTAACATACACCAAACTCCATTTTCTTGTCCTATAAATTGTCTGATCTTTCCAGAAAGTAGGATAACAAAGTAAGATCAGAACTACCTACAATGGATTCAATTCTGCAAAAGTTAAATCCTGGTGCTTTCATGCATGCCTATGTAATACACCTTTCAGAGAGGCGCTGGACTTCGGGGTCATATTTCCAAGGAGCTGCTAAATTCATTCAAGGCCACTGGGTGGTGCTGGTGCATCCTGATTTGTAATGTGCTCTATGCTGCGTTTTCATGGTCACAAGGACAAAAAGCCAATGTCCATGCTTGCACAGCTTGACCCACCTATCACAGTTGCACTGAAGGTATCTGAAATGATAACATTTCCAAACAGTTAAAAGGAGAAGACTGGAGCCAGGGTGACGGTCAGAAAAAGTAATTAGTATTTCTAATTTTCTGCTTTTAAGGAAACTCAGAAAATAGTTAAAACTGTCTATTAAGTTGGAATGTATAATCCTCAATGGACAATCTTGTGCTTAATATGTCTTTCTCCTAAAATATAGAATACAGGGGGAAATATTCTGATATACTGTAGTTAATTTACAAACCAAAACCAAAAACCAAACCTCTGTCCCCAATCAACTTTGATGTCATATCCTGTGGTCAGTAAGTAGCTCTTAATCTGCTACTGTCTACAATATACTAATTTATGATTCTGTAATGCCTTTAAGACCTTGAAATAATAATAATGAAATTTCATTCAAGTAAAATGACCTATTGGTATTATATTGTAATTAATTCATTTTTTTTATGTATGCAGAATACTTTTGTGCTGAAGTTAAGTGTTAGCTGTTAGGTTTTACATTTGCCAGGAGCCTAAGCTTTTATTTCTTAAAAAGATACCTAAACCTTCTTTTGGGGGAAATACCTTTTGGCTAACTAGGGTTTTATTTACAATAAACTTTTAAGGTATTTATTTGTGTAATAAAATACAACCATTATGTTGTCAGTAATTGGGTGCTACAAAGGGAGATCCCAAGGGTTTTAAAATGAGGGAATATTTCCATGTTAGAGTGAAGCTGCAGATGAAATACATGTGGGTCAGTCATAGACATGCCAAGTCCACTAAGGGACACAGAATGGCTCCTGGGCCATGAAATGGGGCTCATTCTGCTCTTACTTAAAGACAGAGGGTTGCTCTAAAGGTTAGAGACAGATGCTTAGCTGCCCATGGTGTGGTTCAACTTGACTGTTATGGTATCCACTTGACTACTGTATAATGGCATAATGGCTATAATGACTAAGCTTAAAAGGGCTCAGGAAAAAATTTCCTCTGAGAGGTAATCATAAGAATTGTCAAGATTTGAAATTTTTATAAGACCTCAGTGAGTGGGAAACTCTTTTTTTTCTTTTGAGGCTTTGGCTCCATGTAAAAGGTAGAGGAGAGAGTAGTTACCTGGGTCCCAGTTGAGAAAGTTTAATGGCTTGTGGTCTGACCATTCCCAGCCTCTAGAAGAGTACAGCTGATTTAAGCCAATCCAGAAGATGCTTGCAATGCCTTCTTTTTCTGTAACAATTACATAATTTTAACAAGTGACAAAACTACCAATTTATGATCTAAGTCAGACTATCTAGGAGGGTATCTATCCCACAAAGCAAGAGATGCTGACAGACAACACTTCCGACTACTGAGAAACCCAAAGGCTGATCAGTTTCAATTCTACTTTCCCATTAGCGTGTGCGATTCCCTTTCTTCTAAGGTAAGAACAGACTCTTCTCAGAACAGCTGTTTCACTACTTTATACCCTCTTGTCAGAAAGCAGTTATATAGTCAGGAATGTAAAGTAAAACATAGGAAATATAGCCAATAATTTTGTAATGACTATGTATGGTGTCAGATGACTACTAGACTAATCGGGGTGATCACTTTGTAATACTAATCACTGTGCTGTACAACTGACGCTAATATAATATTTTATGTCGACTGTAATTGAAAAATAAATTTAAAAAGAAAGCACTTATATATAAAAAGTAGTTTGCATTGCAGATCTAGATTTTGAGGATCTGATTGTATTCCATTAAGCATATATCCTTTGCCAGATACGAAAGCTACAAAAACCAAAATGAGAGTCCTGCCCTCATGAGGATCTGAATCTAGTAGAAACAGATGTGGATCCCCAAATGGTAAAGTGCTACCAGCACTGCTTCAGAAATATGTACAGGAGCTGTTTCGTAGGCAATGTAATATACATCTGTAGAGTCCAAAGGAGATATTTAAACTGGAGATACGGAAGAGAGAGACACACACACACATGTACGCCACTGTGGAGAGGTATCATTCTAATTTATTATTTGACAACAAGACGCCATCAGCAAAAAAGAGAAAGACAGAGAAGCAGAAATGATTTAAGTAGTGAGGCTAATTGCAGAAAAGCCACACAATATGCATATGCCCATGAGCAATGGGTCCAATCTTGCATGTATGGTCCATGTGTACTGGAAAAACATGTAAAGAATTGTGAATTATTGTAAGGAATTTCATACCACTGGGAAGGAAGTCAACAGAATTACTTAGGAACCTGGTAAGACTTCATCAACATCATGAAGGAATAACCTGAAGATACTCAGGGCCAGGTAGAAGAGACAGAGCAAATGATGAAATGGTCTACAGAAGACAAGGATGATGTTGACAAATAGGAAGAGCTCACAGGTTGGAATATCTATAAATTTGTTAAAATAGTCTCGTAATAAAACACTTAATAGCAGTTTCTTAATTCCTCACAGGGAATTATATGATATGCTACTGTATTATATGTAATCATCTATATACATATACATGTAAAATATAGTTATGTTTTTATATAATTTATTTGTACATTAAATTACATATACATAAATGGTTCTTAAAGTATGGATGTTTTCTACTTGCAAATCACACAGATATATCGGATATATATAATTTTGTTCATTATATATATCTCCGATATATCTGTGTGATTCGCAAGTAGAAACCGTATGCATTCTTCACTTTTTAGTAGATGTCTATCCATGTGAATTGTATAGAGAAAATTATAATCACATATACATCTGAGTGATTTGCATATATAAAACCATGTCCATACATTAAGGGATTTTTAAAAGTGGGTAATTTTAATCATACACAATTTTTGTCTTATTGCCTCCCTAAAACAGGTAATTCAACTGGAATTGACACCAGGGAATGGGTGCGTTCCCCTGGGTAGAGCAGAAATAGCAACAGCAAACACAAAAGAAGCCACAAGCAGTAACACAAACACCAGTGTTCAAGGGATGGACAGGGGTCTGGAAAGAGGGTGGTAGGGCCAAGGCCCAATGATCACTCCACCAAAAAGGAAGTGTGAGGATAAAAGTGAATTAGAAAGATACACTGTGCTTTCCAGGGGCTTGGCTGTGAAAGAAAGAGATAGGGCTGCAGGAACTAAGAAATATATATATGTGTCTATATTAGTGGTAGGAGTTTAAACAAGTTAATAGCCTTTTGGAGATGAATTAGAAACAGTTGATGAAAATACAAGATATGAGAAAAAGCTGGTGTGGCCACAAGAACCTTGGGGAAGGAGTTAACCTTGAACAAGCTCACAGCTGACAGTGCAGATACAGATACATATGTAAGTATTAGGGTGAGAAATAAAGGTTTGCCTTACCTTTCTCAAGGAAATAGCTGGTAAGGATACTCTGCTAAAGAAGGAGAAGGTGGGTATTTGAGGGAATTTTGGATTCACCCTTTTCTTTCACTTGTTAGCACAAGCAAGGGCTGCCAATGCTTGTATACAAAGACCTTGAGGATTTAATATAATGTAAATTTCTTCCTATTAGTAAAAGCAATGAATTTTCCAGCATTCCTAAAGAAGTACTGAAAACTATGACATATTTACGGTACTCTAAACTCGACCATACCCTGACATTCAGAATTCCTTTCATTCATTTCTAACTGGGGATGCCAGGGAGGGTCAATCTTTCCCATCCGTCCCAAGTTCAATGCCCTCCCTCCCATGAAGTCTTTTCAGATAATCCCCCTGCAGGAAGTCTAAATAATCCTATCACTCCTTCAAAATTATTTTATTGCTTATCTGCACATGGCAAGTACACATTTATGACAGAGCAAAATGACCTTTGGAAGCTGTCAGGCTCCTACTCTGCTTCATTACACTGTTCTATTTGTGAACTCTATTAAAAACTTATTCTTCACTGGAATGATAGCATTTTAAAATTGTGATTGATAGAAAATGCTAAGAACCATATGATTTAGCTCATATATGGAATATAAAACTGAAAGTCATGAACACAAACAGCATTGTGGTGGTTGCCAGAGGGAAGGGGGTGGGAGAAAAAGGGGGTCCTAATATAAGATGACAGGAGATTTGACTTTGAATGGTAGGCACAGTGCAATATACAGATCTTGTAACATAAATGGTAGGCACAGTGCAATATACAGATCTTGTAACATAGAAACCCACACCTGAAACCTATTCCATTCATGTTGACCAATGTCACCCCAATCGATTTAATAAACAAACAAATAAACAAACAAAAATCAACCAAAAAAATGTGACTAAGTTAACCAACAGGAATGTTCTTTATGTGTCTTATGCCAGCTAATGTGAATGGGAAATGGATAAAACATAAAGGGCACAAACTTCTTATATGACCTGGACAATATGGAGCTGGACTTTTTTCTACATAGTCCAAGCAAGAAGTTGATCAATTTGAGACACTACTTACCCCCATCTTTGCCATCAAGAAATAGACCATTGTTAGCGTAAATCTTCATGCCTAATCAATAGGCAAGCCCATCAAGGAAGATATTTCTTGACTGCCCCTGAGACCCCTGTTCAGAGCTGGCCCATATTTCTATTCCTCTCCTTACAATAAAAGACTACAGGGTCTGCTAATGGTCATGCACTTCGGATGAGCAGGATGAGAGCCTCTTTAATGCATCATAAAATCCACAGTGAGCAGGGGCCCTGACTTAGAAGTGTTCTAGTCTTGGTGCACCTTCAAGATGGCTCAAAGTGAGCCACCAAGGCTGAGGCAAATTAGGACAAATGAAAATGTGCTGTTCCTACTCCAGGGACTGTTGGAGCCTCTTTTGTTGCTTCGGGGTGAATCGGTGGTTAGAAGTCCTCTGGGAAGGCCGGATCATGGGAAATCTATCTCTCAAAGAAAATCTAGTGAATATAAGGAAACCACGCCCCCTCCCTCTGGCCCCTGTATCAGTAAAACAAAACTAATAAAAACAAAACTAATTAAGTGCAGGGCTGGCAGAGAGGAAAAAGAAAGCTTTTTCAGACTGTATTAGACTTATCTTCAAGGGGCCTGCTTCTGCTTTTTTTCTGGCAGATTCCCTGGTCCCACCCAACTAGTAGCTAACAAACCAGAGGTTTCTTTTGGAATCACATTCTCCAATATGCTCTGCATATGTACAACTCTTATTTCACAACTATATAACAAACTTTGATCACAAATTCTGTCTTATTCACTTTGGTTGGCCTCACTGCTCCTAGCCCAATGGTTACATGGTAGTTTTCAATAAAGGGCCACTTAATAGAAACTTTAAGATATTTTCAAGACTTAGATACTCTGAGTTTCAGATGTTAAAGTACAGCTTTCTTGGGTTTTGGGAAACCAAAAATTATAATTAGGCATATTGATATGTCTAAACAACATTTCATAGTAAAAGAGAAGCTTGAAAGGCTGTACCTCTAAATTATTGATATATATAAGGTGTAGAAAGTGTCTGGCCAGGGGTAGGGGCTACTGGGCCCTTTAACATATTATCTCACTTTTATGAGTTACTAAAGAAAAGAAATCCTGTAACATTCTTTTACAAATGCATCATTAGATTGTTTGTTAGGATGTTAGCAGTCACACTTTGACATTTCTCCCTCATTATAATCATCACTATCCAAATAATATTCAAGGAGGCTTAAACTTATTGGCACTTTTCACTCTAACAATATTTTTGTAAGGTTTCAGTGATGTTGGGAATAGAATTCTATTGTCAAATACTAGCCCATTAGGTTTATTTGATGGATTTCCATTCTAGAGGTCTAATTATTCAAGTATCAAACAACAAAGGAAAGGTTAAAGTTAAAAGTAAGAAAAGAGATATTCATAAGGCTTTAGCCAAAAAGCCTGACAAAAGACCAGCAGACTTTTAGTGATGAAAAGATATAAAGCTATGTAAGAGGAGTAATTAATATAATAAGAAGTAAGGGCTCTGGAGTTATATATGTTGATATTCAAATCCCAATTCTGGTATTTCTTGGCTGTCTAAGTATATTATTTCTAAGCATCAATTTCCTTATCTGTAAATTGGGACAGATATTTGTCTCTGAGGTTGTAATGATATTAAATCATTTATCTAGAGCTATTAGGGCTTTGCTCATAGTTAGCATTTATCAAATATTTATGACTTTAATAAAAGTGTGACAGGATTTATCTGAATTAGTCAATAGGTATTTAATACATAGCAATAATGCTTAGAGTTTTGTGCAAAAGGAAAAAACAACCCATGAGGTCCACTCTGCCTGCAAAGAATTTAATAGTATTATAAAAGGTGAATGCAGGTACATGCCTGATACAACTTGTTTTCAAGTCAGACTATGTTCAAATTTTGGCTCTGCTAATTACTTGTGGGTGGCCTTGAACAAGTTACATTTCCCCTTTGATTCTCACATTCGTCATCCAAAAATGAACATAATAAAAATAACACCTACTTCATAGGGTTGCTATATGGGACTCAATAAGATAATGTCTGAAAAGCATTTAAATATCTCTCTAAAAAATCATCATCATATATTATGATTTTTTTTCATGCATTGAAAAAATCATCAGGGACTCAATAACTTGATTTTCGAAAATAATGTAAAAACTTTCTGTTTACAAACTTCTAGTAAAAGAGTAAAAGATGGGCAACAATCCTACAGAATTTTGCTGAGTTTATAAAAGAAGTCTTAAATAAGTACACTACTGAGTACTCTCATAGAATTTTATTGAGTATATAAAAGAAGTCCTAAGTAAGTAAAAAGGCATACCATTTTCATGGATGAGAAGACTTAAAAATGTAGTGACAGTAATGCCTTCTTAATTAATCTATAATTCATGCAATTCAAAGTCCCAATAGGTTTTTTATTGAGAATAACAAGCTGATCCTTAGATTCATATGAAAGAATGGGAAAGAAAATAGCCAAAAAAAAAAATGAATATGGGAGAATTTGCACATCTAGAAAATAAGATTTACTGTGTGAGGCAGGACTAACTAAAACAGTGTGGAATAGATAGAAAGACCAATAAGTAGACCAAAAGAATAGAATGGAGAGGCTAGGAATAACCTATATATCCTAAGGTTTATATTTATTAGAGGTGGCATAACAAACCAAATGGGGAAAATGTAAAATAAATAGTACTTGGTAAACCTGACTATCCATCTGGAGAAAGATGAATAAGATTCCAAGCTTTACAAACTACATTACAGATGGATTAAGGATGTAAATGTGAAAAGCAAAATAATAAACTTTTTAAAAAAACACGAGAGGATATCATTATCATTTTAGGGGTAAGGAAGGATTTGCTAAATAATAAAAATAAGCATAAAACATTAAAGAAAAGATTGGTAAGTGTAACCAAATTAAAACTAACATATTTCTTTTATGATGAGGCAACTAAAATAAAGTGAAAAGGTAAAGACTAGTAAAAGAGATGTGTAATCCTATAACAAAAGATTAGTGTCCAGAATATATAAAAAACTATAGCAGATCAATATACAAATGACCAACAACTCAATAGAAAAGAAGCAAAGGACATAAACTGGCAAATTACAAGGGGAAAATCTAAATGCTCAGTAAACACAAGATGCAAAACCACATTAACTATTAGGGAAATGTAAATCAACAATGATATACCATTTCACATTCATCATATCAGCCAATTAATAAGTCTGTTAACACCAAGTGGTAGTGGAAGTTGTAAACTAATACAACCACTTTGGAAAGCAATTTGGGAATTTGATTAGAGGTGAAGAGATGTTCACACCATGTGTTAGCAATTTCCACTCTAGAGAAACTCATACATGCTCAATGGGACACATACAAGGCTGTTCCTTGCAGAGGTGTTTGTAATAGCAAAAGCTGAAAACAACCTGTTTCTCAGTAGAGAATAGATGAATTGTGGTTTATTCGTACAATGTAACACTATACAGCGGCAGCTGAAAATGACTAAACTTACATATGGGTAAATAAGATAGTATTTGCATTATTGTAAAACATAGAACGATGGTATAATGAAAACATATATAGGATTTATAAATATGTATAAGAGCACTCAAGGGACGGTTATTTTGAAAGGTGGGCATGGGGCTTGAATTCTGCTAACATTTTATTCTTCCAGAATAAAGGGAGGGAAAGGAGGGAAGGAGAGAGGGGTAAAGAGGAAGAGAGAAAGGGAATCAATCCATGTAAAGTAGTATGACAAAATGTCAGTGAATATTTATTTAGTCAGGGTGGTGGTTGCATAGGTCTCTATGTGATTACTTCCTATTCTGTCTATATGATGTTTTAAAAATATGTTTTCGTAATTAAAAACTTAAAAATTATCATCACCACCCCACGAACAAGACAAAACAAAATCCTATCCACTCCATGTGTCTACAATCTACATCATTAAATCCACTTTAAGGTTTCTTAAAGCTCTCCTTGCCCCTGAGGACTGCGCTTGTTTAACTCACACGGGAAACCATCCAGTATGACTCAGCCATCTTCTTTACCTTCCTCGAGTTCTCCAGTTTTCAATGTTCAGAGAGTTTAATGTTTACCTTTTAAAAAATACTTTCACTTAGGCTTAGGGTAGCAGTTTAATCCTGCAACCTCAACACATTTTCTGAACATTAACCTCTTTTTGGTCTCCATCGCAATGGATGGAATAGGATTACAGTCAGTACGTTTTCGCTTGTGGGTTTCAGTGTTGAAGTTTAAATCCCAAGAGAAGATAGAAAAATATAAACATAAAACAACATACCTGAATGTGAAAACAGAGGAAGACAGAAAACCTCTTTATATTTTGGCAGTTTGCTCTATGGCATGTAAGTTAAACGTACCTTTAAGATAAGTTAATTCGGCATCACTGTTGATGCTCAGTAAGTCAGCTCCTTGATTCTGACATGAAACATAAGCTTCTTTCCAAGAAAGAGCTGCCTGAGTATTAAATTGGTAGCAACTTCCCATCTGCTCATTCTTTTCCCAATTACCTTCACAGCCATTTTCTGTTGATAAAAAGATACGTTAGTGATCATAAAGTAAGGATGTAATGTTTACTATTACTTAGAATGCTTAAATTGGGGATTATTGCTTGACTAGACCACAGTTTGATTCTTTGGTTACACAAGGGATTTGAAGTCATAGGACACCCAATGACTCAGGCTGATTAAAGCTTCTACTATCCTACTGACCACCCTCCCTTTATCCCCTATCAAGTACAATGCCATATTTTAGCCCATACCTGCCTTCTATCTATGGGTAGGAAACTTTAACTGTGCTTACACTTTTAAGCCCCCAAGTTAATGAAAAACAAGCTCACGTGAAAATGGTGGCAGACTGCAGAGGGATTTGCCCACGGCCTGCAGAGAAACTATTGCATGAGTATGTCTGTGTGCAGACATGCTGCTTAAATACTCAAGATTTAGAACCCAGGTGACTACATTATTGGGAAACTCAGTCCAAGTTTCTCCTTAATAGTTTAATAAGATAATTCAATATACAATATATACTAATCAATAATACATAATTATCATTATACATGTATATGTACATGTGTGTGCATATGTGCACAAACATATATGTTCATAGTATAATGTACCTATTATTTTAACAAATATTTAAAAAGTGTGTATCATTTCAGACAAAAACCTTCAAGCTACGTTCAGGACAAGACAAATCGGTCTTGATACAACTGGCTCAAGAATACACTCAGAGACTCCCATGTGCTCTCTAGAGGAGGGAACATTGGGTGTGTCCCAAGCTTCCCTTGTGGGGTTTCCAAAGGGCCTCCATAACCAGTCACATGCCACATGGCCTTTCAAGCTGGAAGGGCCCTTAGATACCATCTTGGCTAACGTCCTCCTTTCACAGGCGGGAACAAAGGTCTAGAGGTGTTTGTGCAGAGCTAATCAGAGCTCCGGCCTCTCCATCTGGGCTACTGATCTTCTAACTGGCCAACACTGCTCCTTCTGCCGCTTTAGAATGGCCCACATAGCAACAGAGGCTGCCGTGTCATGTGGTGAACACAAAACAGGTGGATTTTTAACTATACTGCCTAAAGGTTCCTTATTACCACTAGGCCCTATGCTTATAAACCCAGGGGCTCCCAGTGCAATAGCAGTGTGTTTATGACTATAAAATAAAATCTCATGGTTTAGCAGTCCTTGGGTTTGAAAAACTCAGTCTTGCTTCTTCCATAAAAATAACTCTGGGAGGCCTATGAATACTTTAAAAATCCACTCTCCCCCTGCCATGCAGAGGAGGCTAAAGGCATTGAGACAGATGCCAGTCAAGGCTGCAAGTCAGAGTAGGATAAATATGTTGGGAATAAGGATCAGGAATCCTGGGATTTCCACCAGGCTCTGCACCTATGGGGTTTGACCCTGACAATCTGGGTGTTGGTTGCCCCTCACCTGAGAAATGAGGGTATGCACTGGCTACCTCCACATTCCCATTCCCATCTAAAATTTCTGATCCAGACTACTGTTATATTTACATGAAATTGGTGCCTGGTTGACCGAACTCTGCTTATCAATTAAAGCTGAAGCAAATATTGGCTTTTTACCTTGCAGTAGGTCCCAGGTGTTTAAAAGCCTGTGCCTCTACCTAGAAAAGTGATTATCAAAGTGTGGTCCCAGACCAGCATCATGAGCATTATCTGGGAACTCATTAAACTGCAAATGACTGGGCCCCACTCTAAACATACAGAATTATAATTTCTGGAGGTGAGCCTCAGAAATCTGTGTTATAACAAACTCTCCAAGTGATTCTGTTGCATCCGGAAGTCTGAGAACCACTGGCCCAGCAAAAACCTCAATTGCCTGGAACTCTGCATTTTGAAGCTCGGCTTCCTCGAGGAGGGATGAGCATGACTAGATCAGCAGGATGGCTGCTGAGTGAGGGAGGACAGTACAGTTGTTCAGGACAAGGTCTGAGGGCTGGATTTCCTGGCTTTAAATCTTAGCTCTGAAACTGATTAGCTGTGTGACTTCAGGCGAGTGATTTAACCCCCCTGTGCCTCACTCACTTTGCTCATCTGTAAAATAAGGTTGTGTAAGGATTGCTTAAAATAGTAACTGACACTTGGCAGGGCCCTATCAGTATTATTACTTGGGTCTGGAGCTGTTTGCTTTATCTTTACTACAGATTCCTCTAACTTACTGCCCACTAAAAATGTTTCTTGAGTATCTACCACACACACTTCAAGTACTGTGATCCCCTGTAAATCTCAACTGACTGGCAAGAAAATCTGTCTATTACATACCAGATAATAATGCAACTGCTACTTTGGTCTCTTTCACTCTAAGGAACAGTCAATTCTTTAGCACATCCTGAATTGTTTGCTTCATGTAAGACGCACTTAGAAAACATGCTCTGATCAATATATCAGAATGGTGGAAGGAACAATTCACCAATTTTGAGATGGTCAGGGATAATGTCTCTTTTGCTCCCCACTCTTTGCTTCAGGCCATAAACATATTTAAGTGTCCACCATCCTAAAAGTGTTTTTTTTTCAACCTATCTGCCCGTCAGACCACCACCTTGCCTCTCTCTTTCTCTTTTCCATAAAACTTAAGAGGCTTACTCACCTTCTGTTCACGGTGCAGTCCATTATAACCCAGCTTCCCTGACCACTAGAGTTTCAGACTGCTCTGTTAAAGGTCAGCACTGCCCATGCCTTTCCTACTTTCTCTCCGAGAGGTATTTGTGCAAAATACCCCCTCACCATGTGTCTTCTGTGACACCATCCTGTCTTTGTTCTCTTCCTGGCCTACTTTTGAAAGCAGGTTCATAGCTACACATTAGTTCTCCCTTTCCTCAAATATATACTCCTTGTTTACGATTATATTTGTTCTAATCATTTCTGAATACCTTGGACTCTTCCTTCTCCTTTTCGCCTCTGGGAAATGGTATCTTTTTCTTTCCATATGTAAAGTGTACTAGCCCATACATACCTGGGTTTAAGCAGATACCCCATTCTTGATCATATTCATAATTTAAGGTGGTTGCACACCATGGCCCACTGTGCTCTTCATCATGGATGCACTCATGATGCCAGGTCTCACCAACTAAGAATGGAAATTCACAAGGTTTTCCATAGGCGTTTCCATCTATGGTATATATCTCTGTGGGGTGGGGGGAGGGAGGGGAGAAGATAGAGGGAAGGAGAGTTAATCACTGGATAATCAGCTTCAGTTAACTAATTTCTAAAACTGCTTTGGAAGAAGGGTGGTTGTTTTCACTTATAAGCATACAGTATTTGGGCAGGCTGCGTGGTGTAGAAATTCACAGCACAAATGCTGACTGCTCAGGTCTGGACTTGAACTCTGGCTTTGCCACTGACCAACTGTGTGCCTGTGGACAAGCTCTCCAACCTCTATGAGCCTCAGTTTCTGCATTTGCAAATTAGGAATACCAGTACCTAGCTCATAGGTTTCTTCATGAGGATTCAATGAGGTAATCCATGTAAAACTTCGTTTATTGTGATATGATAAAGAGTTAAAACACTGTGGCTTGATCAAGAGAGGATCAATTGGCTACTGTGGTTGGCAGAGTATTTCACCCGAAGGGGTGCCCTGCCTGAGATTAAACATATACTCTGTATTCTTTTCTTCAGTAAGAGTGGGGCAGTAAAATACCTTGGAATCATTGAAGGTGGGTGTGGACTTTGGAACCCACTGTGGAGTTAGAGACATGAATAAATAGCCCCGTTCTTCGCAGACTGGTGGTAGAATTCAGGCTGTAGGTTTTGAGGAAGTGGGAGGAAGAGCTGCTGGATCTCTGAGTGAATTTTTGGAGAGGGGCAGCACATGGTAATTCAGGTTATAAAAGAAGAACCTGCTTCAACTGGGCAGTCATAGGACCAGCTGTTGACCAACAAGGCAGCAGAATCACTTTTTTCATTTTAATAACTTTCCCTGGTACACTCATGGAGAGGAACTGAAAAGTTATTTTAACCTCAAATATGCCTGGAAATACTAGAGGAAGCGCTCAATACTTACGTTAATAACAGATTTCTTGGAAAGGTGTTTTTTATAGAACAGCTAACCCTATAACTATTTTTGGTCACCTTTTTCCACATCTGTAATTTTTTTTAAAACTATGATCATTACCAGATTAAAGAATGGCTATTAGGTAAAGCATAGGAATCAGATCTTATCACCTTTTACCAGGTTAGTAGGGTCCCTTAGAATTTCTCTTATATTTGCATAAATGTGTACTTAAGATAGTATTTGGTTCCACATTCTTTATTCTTCTCAATGTTCATTTAACTGAAGTGTGATGTGGCAGGATAGTAAGAAGCTAGGAAAATTCCTTGACAAGTAGAATAATGGAAACTGAGCCTCAACACAAGGACTCATAGCTGGCTCTCTTGTTAGAGCACGCCCACACCTTGAATTTCTGCTGTTTTTCTTTTGAACTCAGGGTCCCACCAGACTTGCATTCATGGGCTTACCTCATGAACCTGTCTCCAAGGCCCCCTTTTCTCTGACTTTCTCTCTCCTGCTGCTTCTTCTACCTTCAGCACTTCCTTCGTTTCACAAACATGCTCTCAAAACCAACTGGACTTGTAGTGTGAAACCTTTCCACACTACAGGCGGGCCCAAGGCAGATCCACCCCGGGCCCAGACCCCGTCTGGTAACAGTGAGCCTTAACTTAATATTAAACAGCAATACAGCAAAAGGTAAGAATAATTTAGATGTTTTTATTTGCAAGAAATCTTTTAGTTTTGTTTTCCTCTGACATATAAATGGATCTGAACAGGGTATTTCTGTTAAAGAGTAATCTGTCCTTATATTTTATAAGGATCCTGCATATAACCTAAGTTTTGTTTTTAACCATACTCAACCTCCCAAGACCTCATGACCAATTTCTCTTCCCATATTACAACACTTAATAGGAGAGTCCCTGAGCACAACGATTATTACTTATAGAAACATCAGTTTCTTTTCTAAATTCTTGTGTTTCTCATACAAAGTGCTTTCCCATACATTTCTCTCACTTCCTCATTACCATAAGCCCCTGGAGTCAGTAGGGCAAGTATTACAAGTGAGGATCAACTGGCTACTGTGGTTGGCAGAGTATTTCACCTGCCTGAGATTAAATGTATACTCTGTCTCCTTTTCTTTAGTAAAAGTGGGGCCAGTAAAATACCTTGGAATCACTGAAGGTGGGTGTGGCCTTTGGAACCCACTGTGGAGTCAGAGACATGGACAAACAGCCCTGTGAAATCCCCGTTTTGCTGAGTAATTAAACGAGTCAGCCAGGCCCTTAGTAGTAACTGACAGAACCGGCTCTTTGATTAGATTCCTTAACATATAAGAACAACTTGTGACAGCAATGGCTGTCTTCTCAGGTTTCAAAGTTATGTTTCATAGCGGGAAGCTGGGCTTCCTTTGAAAAGCTCTCCGATTCACAATATGCTCTGCAGAACGATAAGCATAGAACCACCACCCTAACAGCAGCTGCTAAATTATGCTAACTATTCACGATGAGTTTTATTCTCACACATTTCTTTGCTGCTGCTAGATCTCTTAAATGCCACAGGCTTCCCTAGAAAAACAGACTTTCCTCCGAAGAATCGTCTCTGAATGGGGATAGCAGCCTTTAAAATGACGAGGCACCTACATGGAAAAGTAATATAAAAATTTTTGGTAATATTAGACAAAATGTCTTCAATGGTTAAAAGGAGTTGGCAGGCTTCTAAGAGCTGCTCAAAATTCAGAGAGCTCTACAACCACAGCTCCAACCAAAGTCCATTTCCTCTGCATAATTCACCAAATGTTCAGAATGTGAAGAGTGCTAGCAAGGCCAAGATATCGTAATGATATAAATGCCCATCTGGATGCTAGTCAAAGCAGTTTATCCGTAAAATGTATACAGCTACTTTTCTCTGGTGAACACGACTCACACAGGATGGGGGTTGGCTAGAGAGGCAACCCAGGACACAATGACAAATAACCGTTCTTATATTAGAAGTCAAATATTTATACAGCAAAAGCCAAGGGAGAAATAAAGTAGCTATATTTGGGGAACACAATCCTGGCGTGGAGCTGCAGCTTTGCTGTAACAAGCGTGGTAACTTTGGACTTCGCTTTGTTGCATCTCTGGTATCTTATCTTTCTTTCCTCTATATAATTAGATAAGAAGAGGGGCAGGGACCAGTATGGGGAGTCTGAGAGAGAGCAGTCCTAGAAAAAGCCCCTAACTTAAGACAGCAGTCTCTGACCTAAGAACAAGAAGGGACTACATAGATTTGGGTAAAATTGCCAGGAGTTAGTATTTGATTACATTCCAACAGTGGGAGAGGAAATACAGATTTCTGACAGACTTGACTTGGAAGGTACCAGTCATCAGGAGAGGAATGGAAAAGAGGCAGATTTGGTCTTGACCTCTGTGCAAATTAAATCCTGAGGTTTAAGGTGACAAGTCAGAACTACATGTGCCTTCTCTTTGAAATTTATAAATTTCTTATTTCAAAATTTGCTGTTCCAAATACTATATGTGGTAAGGTCAAGAAACCCTCTACACCCATTTGACTCTCTCTGGGGTGGTGCCTTAGATGGGTTCTTAACCTTTTGGGGGCCACCATTCACTTTGACAGTGGGCCCCCTTCTCGGGAGAATATTATAAATGCATAAAATAAAACACATGGGATTACAAAGAAAACCTGTTATATTGACATGGAGGCATTTTGGGCATTGAAGGAACTTAAAATTACAACTACGTCCCTCAAAAGAATTAGAGGCAAGAGACAGAAAGAGTCCTGTCAAGAAAATTATACTTTCTGATCCTTGAACAAAGACAATGAAACAAGTCAAATCCAGTTCAAAAGGTATTTTGTTTCGTTCCTCATTTTCTCTTAGTTGCCAAGTTGGAGAAGGCTTGACAACACAAAATTTAAACTTGCCATTAAGAAAGCAACTGCTTTTTAAGGCCAGGAGGAAACTGGCTAGCAGAAACAGACCTGTTCAAATAGGCAAGGGTCGAGGATCGAAGAAAAGGAAAAACCCACCCCTAACTCTCTAATATTTCCCCATAACAGCAGACCGGACATCTCAGAGGCAGCTGCATCTGCATTAGAAAAGAGAAAAGGGCTCCCTCAGGACAAAACTTGCGCAGATAAGGGGGAAAATGGCAGGCCAGATTATACTTAAATGAACTTTAAGAGAAGAGGGAAAAATCTCTGTAAAGTTGTGTAAATTTACAAAGAAGAGCAAAGGTGAGATAATAGTTAAGACTTAAAAGATAATTAAAGATATACGTATATCTCAACTTCTGATGTAATTTAGAGCAACAGAATGAAAAAAGATTTGCTTGGGAGATAGCTATTTACATTTAGAGGTTTAAAGAATAAATCTGCTCATTCTTTTTAAACTTTGATCAAGTCTCTAGACTCAGAATAAAGTTCACAATCAACTCCCCAAAAGGCAATAATCATGTACTCATTTTTGGAAGCAATTGAGAAAAAGTTAACTATCACAGTGTAATAGGCACACCAAAAATAAAAAGAAGTACATAAACCCACACGAGGCTCCTAAGTTTTTCCATTACATCAAAATCTGCAGATAAGAAAAAACATATTTCATTTTTTCTTTCTCTTTCTTCTTTTATCATTTAGAATAGGTCCGGCTTTACTACATCATTTGACTTTGATTCTGTACGAAGGATTTCCTGTTACCCTAACTTTTCTTTGTTCTGGAGTTCAGGACGTAATCATGAAAAGCAGGTAAACACATGCTCAGGCATCAGGGAGATTTTCAATTCCGGGGTGGCACAGAATTGCTGTGTGACCTGTGACAAGGCACGTACCTCTCCCAGCCTTGCCTGTAACAGAGGGCAAATAGCACCGAACCCACAGGGATAGTTCAGAGTTACTGCCCAGTGCCTGGAACTGAAGGCTAGCTCACTGCCCATACCCCTGTACAACTTTGCGGTCAGTTGTGCATGTTTAACAGCACATTTACCAAACACAACAGCAAATGAGTCCAAGTCCCTCTCCAATACTCACCATGGTAAGGCTGGGCACAGAGGTTTTCCCCCGAGCCTCCTTTCTTCCAGCCGTCAGATGAATTTGTGCTTGCGATGGCGATTCCACCCTTCAGAGCCAACCTGGACTGGGCCGCTCCATACAGAGAGTGGTGCTCGCATTTCCACCACAGCATGGCTCTGGCGTCACAGCTGAACATCCTCAAGGAGTCCGTGGGTTTGGTAATATCGAGGCCAAGGCACTTCTGGGATTGCAAGTGAAAGAGCCGATGCTGGGACACCCACTTCCACAACATGTCCTCGGTTTTGTCACACTCCTTGGCTACTATCCAGTCATTTAGTGGCTTGATACACTGGCCCATGTTTTCATTGACGATGGTGAATGGATCATTCCCTGAGTCAAGACAGACAAAGAAGGTGTTTCAGGATTCTGAATTATGTGGCCAATGTGCCTTGGCCCCTGCTGGGTGGGGAGAATGTGAGCACCATGGGACCGTCCCTACCTCTGCGCTGTATAAACTGTGATGTACTACAAGGTCAGAGGACAGTGGTGGCCAGCGAGGCAGTACAGTGTGGGGGATGAGCCTGGGCTCTAGGGCCGCTCTGCCTGGGTTCAGTCTGCCTCTGCTACTTGCTAGTCATGTGATCAAGGCAAGTTATTTAACTGCTGTACCTCAGTTTCTTCTGTTGTAGAACAGAGCTTCACATAGTAGATGTGAGGATGAAATGAGCTTATACATACAAAGCACTTAGAATAGTATGTCTATTGTTATTATTATTCCATGAAATGCCCCCCTCACTCCTTTACTTAACCAGATAAGGAAACTCCTTCGTTTTCATTTCCTTTAGACAGATGGTCTACAGTCAATGAAAAATTGAGTCTATTCTAAACAACTCTGTCTTGCTTCCACTTTACTACGGCAGGTAGATTATTACATGACATTGACATGTCTCAGAGGAGATGGGCAGGTAAATTACTACATGTCATTGATGTGTTTCAGAGGAGATGGGCAGACTTCTGAGAGTCTAGAGGAGATGGAGGTCTGGTTCTAAGGGTAGGGGGGAATCTGTGGCCAACTCCATCGCAGCACCTCCAGGAAGGTGAGGGCAAACCCTGGGGAGGGGCTGAGGGCAGGAGGCTTACAGTGTGGATGACTTTGGGAGCCCAAATCTGAGTCACAGGATTTAAGACCCAGTAGGATTGGACAATGGAAAACTCAGAAGTAACCAGTGTTGAGCTGACGGAGAAAGAGAGGAACCTCCCTGAATGCTCCCGACAGTTTTGCATAAGCTGAGGAAGATGGCAGTAATAAAGAAACCGAAGTTCTGTTATTCTGATGAAATGGGACCTCAGAATAAAATGTAATTTGCTATTATGAAAATAAAGTCATGCATTGTTTCTTGCACACCTAAGTTTGTGGAGAAAGATTCACATCTGTCACAACAATCCACAACTGAACAATTTGATCAGTGCTTTTACAAAGAAACATTTTTTTTCATGTTGACGAGAGTAAAGCGGAAATATTTCTGACAAACTTAAATAATCATGATCAATGAACCAAAGTATTCAGCAGAAGAACCTATAAAATTTTAGTTCCCAAAATGCACTTTCATTTTGATGCCAGTTTCACAATCACTTATTTGACTAACATTAAACACCTTTTCTAATAATAATTCACAAGCTTTCAGAGTGACACATTTTCATTCCAAGGACTTGAGGGGGGGATTTAACTATGTAAATAATAACTATAGAATTAAGTCCAATTCCAGTTTGAACTTTGGACAGAGCTTTTTATTGAAATAGCAGCAGCAGATAGGAACAACAAAATCATTTAAAACTTTGTTATTTCTGCTTTCAAATCTGTATTTTAAAATATAGCATAGGGTTGAAGCTAAGTATGTTTGCCCTCACTCTTTCTCCCTTGACATCACTCTGTCATTCTCTACTTTGTGGACACAGTTTGGGAAGATAGTCAACAAAAAAAAGAAAATGTACTACCTTAGAAGATTATCACTCACACTTTCTCTAATGTCCTCCTCCCCCATTTCCAATAGCCACTCAGCCCCAGGATACAGCTCTTTACTAAACTATTCGCTCTCACCTTTCCAAAATAAATCTTGTGTTCCCAGGTATCAGGAGTTACTGCAGAAAAAAAGAAGTCTGCTCCTGCAAAAAAATAGGTGGCTGCCACCCTTCGCTGTGGCCTTACTGCTCTCTTTTCTGGGCACTCAGCTCTGCCCCTTAACCCCAACCAAGTGAACTGGACACAGAGCAGCTGTGTCTATCTTTGTGGCTTGGAGTTCTAGATTTTTCAGGTTGCCTCTGCCAAATCCAAAGGATTAGCTAGGGCAGGGGTCCTCAAACTACGGCCCACGGGCCACATGCAAATACAAATATTGTATTTGTTCCCGTTTTGTTTTTTTACTTAAAAATAAGATATGTGCAGTGTGCATAGGAATTTGTTCATAGTTTTTTTTTTAAACTATAGTCCGGCCCTCCAACGGTCTGAGGGACAGTGAACTGGCCCCCTGTTTAAAAAGTTTGAGGACCCCTGAGCTATGGTTCTCAGTACAGTGGCAGTGGAATAAGGAGTTAGGGATCCTAGATTAAAGACCTATCGCTGCTACCAGTTAGCCAGGAGACCTTGGGGAAGTCACTCAATCTCCTCAGGGTCTTCATATCTCCAAATGTAAGATGAAAGTAGTGGAACATAAGGTATCTAATCCACTTCCAATTCTAACATCATATGCTTCCAGAGGATCACAGTTTTCCCAGTCTTGCAGGTTTTATTGGTCATTGCTAAGTTCATTGCATAATGTTCTTTTAAAAAAAAATTTTTATTGACAAAGTTGGAGGGATCATAATACCAGATATCAAGCTATATTACAAAGCCACTGTTCTCAAAACTGCCTGGTACTGGCACAAGAACAGACATATTAGCCAGGAGACCTCGGGGAAGTCACTTAATCTCCTCAGGGTCTTCATATCTCCAAATGTAAGATGAAAGTAGTGGAACATAAGGTATCTAATTCACTTCCAATTCTAACATCATATGGTTCCAGAGGATCACAGTTTTCCCAGTCTTGCAGGTTTTATTGGTCGTTGCTAAGTTCATTGCATATTGTTCTTTTAAAAAAAATTTTATTGACAAAGTTGGAGGGATCACAATACCAGATATCAAGCTATATTACAAAGCCACTGTTCTCAAAACTGCCTGGTACTGGCACAAGAACAGACATATAGACCAAAGGAACCGAGCAGAGAACCCAGAAATCAACCCAAGTGTTTATGCTCAATTAATATTTGACAAAAGAGGCAAGAGCATACAATGGAGTCAAGACAGTCTCTTTAATAAGTGGTGTTGGGAAAATTGGACAGATATATGAAAAAAAATGAAACTTGACCACCAACTTATACCATACTCAAAATGGATAAAGGACTTAAATATAAGATGGGGAACCATAAAAATCTTAGAGGAATCCACAGGCAGCAAAATCTCAGACATATGCCGAAGCAATATCTTCATTGATACAGCTCCCGGGCAATGGAAACTAAAGAGAAAATAAACAAATGGGACTACATCAAAATAAAAAGCTTTGCACAGCAAAAGAAACCATTAACAAAGCAACAGGAAAGCCAACTGCATGGGAGAACATATTTGCCAATGATATTTCAGATAAGGGTTTAATCTCCAAAATTTACAGAAAACTCATACAACTTAACAAAAGGAAGATAAACAATCC